TTATGAAACAATGTTTCATGGTTTACACAAAAATATTAAGCAGCACAACTGTTTTCAATATTGATAATAAGAAGAGCAGCCTTTATGGGCATAAAATAAAAAAAGAATCATACTGACCATGAACTTTTGCATTTTTTTTTTAAATAAAATATATATCTAATGCAATAACATTAAGAGATTAACATTTAGAACTGTGATCTAAGTTCAGTGCTGGCCTGTAGGGTTATGAGGCACAAGGCTAGATAATGAAAATGGACCCCACTAGTGTAAAAACTGTCATAGCATTTTGACATAGTGAATAGAAAGCACATAAAATGCCAATTTCAATATTTAAGCGTAAATTCATATTTAGTTTAACAAATTCAACATATGCATGTAAAAATATTAAACAGATTAAAAAAATAATAAAAATAGGCATGCAAGTGACCTTGAGTAAATAGATAAACATGAAACACAAATAAATAAAATAAAATATAAATGTATTATTCATAAAAACTAAATAAAATAAACATAGAAATATGCATAAATGACTAGAAATGCAGGCTATTCTGCTTGTTTTTAAGGATTGTTTTTAAAGATTGATGATCATAATATATATATACAGTGGGTACGGAAAGTATTCAGACCCCCTTAAATTTTTCACTCTTTGTTATATTGCAGCTTGCATTAGACTGGATGGTGGGTTAAATCCGAAATTTGAATTTTTGGCAGGGAGGATGGGTGGGATAGATAAAATCAGGCCCGGTCCTACGAGGGTGCTAGAGGATGCTAAGCACCCTCAGTTGAAGCTGTAATAATAGCATATTGGCTAAACAGATTTGGCGAACGCTCCGGTGTGTATTTGTGTTCGTGCACTGTGGAGGGCCAAAGGTTTCTATTTACAATGTGTTTTTGCTGTTATTTTTGCAGTTGATGAACAACAGTTTCAACAGAGTCATCGCAAAGAGAGCCACTGGAGGAAATGTCACTTTTGAATTTTTTCCATGTAATGATTTACAGGATAGAACTTATGAATTATTTTGTAAGAAATCTCCTTTACTTTGCTAGTTAATACGTATGAGGAGGCATCCAGACTTTTTTTCACCAGATGTTATGGACTAGCCTATTATTGTTTTTGCAGGGAGAAGCAAAACACATTAAAGCAACAACACCTGATGGGATAGACCCCATAACTATGGAACATTCTTTTGGGAAAACAGGAAATTGAAAGTGATCTAGAAATTCTTTATATGACGTTCGACATATATGCCGCACTGTACAGCCCTGGTGCGTCATCCGTAGATATGTAGTCAGAAGGGCGAGATTGTCAATTGAATGTCTAGGTGTGTTTGCCTTGAAGCGGCACTGCACAGACAGATCGGTGTATAACATTAAAGTACTGCGAGAGCAATTCAAAAACATGCAGAGCTGTCTGCTCTCTATAGCTCTCGCAGTACTTTGATGTCATACACTGATCGGTCTGCGCAGTGCCGCTTCAAGTCGAACACACCTAGAAATTCAATTGACAACCTCGCCTGAGATTGTCTTATTTTTAGAAGTTTCGAGGGTCTGTATTACTTACCATTAGAGAAAGTGTAACAGTCAATTTGGATCACATGTGCTTTGATAACCAATCACATTACAGCCTTGATGACATCATTGAATTTCAAAGTTGTGCAACAGTCAATCGGTGTTTACAGATACTATAGAAATGAATGAGAAGTGCTGTAAACTAAAACCCACCTGTCGCAAAAAGTCTGTGACTTCTTTTATAAAATGGCCTTTTTTCAGTGTAAACTATAAAAATAGTTCAATCCAAAACTATTGTTTAACGGCAAACAGTTTGAAGATTAGCCGATAGGCTGTCCATTCATTAAATGATAAGCTGTTTCCTCACAAAAACTGTTTGTTCAGCATAGTGAAGCCTCTCCTCCATTGACATCCATTAAAAAAAACAACAAAAAAAGAGCCTCTGCTCTCCTTCGCTTCACCAAGCTTTAGCATTAGCCGTTATGCCTTTTTGGCTAAAGGTTGTAGGCTTGTCTTCCAGTGGCTTTGACCTCTCAACCGCGGGGCCCTAGGCGACTGCCTGTACCGCCTGTTGGACGAGCCAGCAGTGTCTAAGTTGCTGCTATACTGCTACTTTCTTGTGTAATGAAATCACTGCTTTTTGCTATAAAAGGCCCTGTGCATTGTAGGACTAGAGGAGTAATAAGCTCTTGATGTAGTTTCAAGGCAAAGAACATCAAACGTCTTTGATGGCACGAAGTGTAGATTTATCCTAGAGATATTGAAGTTTTTAGCAGTGACCAAATTTAAAAAGGTTGACACAAATACAGATGTCATCAGTTTAATGGATGTGATAATATCTCATATTCTCTCTTTAAAGTGAGCATGCAGCTCCGGATTGTCTTAAAAGGGAAGGTAACCACAAGAGGACTACGTCATTATTTAATCAACTCATTTCTATATTTGGAGGTGAACCTTTTTTCATTTAAAAGCCCATCAAAATAGTTTGTGCTTTTTGATGAGCAACACAACTCAGCTGTGAGACACACCTGTGATTAGACCCAATCTCTTGTCATGGGAATGAAGCAGTAAAGTCAATGCAAAAATTTGCCAGCTAGATTTTTACATATTCTAATGGAAATGAGTTTCAGTGCAAAACTAACCAACTAACTAAGGTGTTCTGAGTGGTTGCCAGGCTATTTCTATGGTTCCTATGGTGCTATGAGTAGTTGTTAGTGTGTTGCTAAGTGGTTTCTGTTGTAATTTGGGTGGTTTCTAGGGTGTTCTGGGGGTTGTTTAAATCTCTAACCCTAAGTGTGTACAATAGTAATAGTGATTCTTGTCTTACAAGCACCAGACTAAATAGCTAAAAGCCTACCTTCTGCTTGCACGATGCTGTCAAATGCATTTAATGAGTGAGGAAAAGAAACAATAGGCACATGCTACTCATTACAGGTCTGTTGTGTTGGAGGTGGAGTTCTCATTTGTGAGTTCTGAGAAATTAGTTAATTCGTGAGAAAAGCATTAACAGACTCAATGGGTGGTGAAGGGAATCCTCTCCAGACTCTTTCTGTCCCACCCGCCTCCTCTTCTAGTTTTAAGTAGCACAATAGCACGTGTCTGTTCCCTAACTGGTAGTTTCCTTCTTTCTTTTTGTGCTGGTTTGGAGGCTGTCTTGAACTTCACCTGTGGTTTACATGCTTCACAAACAGTCTAAACTGTGCATCTTCTTTAGTCCTGGCCTGATTTGTTTTTTTTTTGGGTGGCACTGTTCTGCTCTTTTTTTAAAAGCTGCTTTGAATCAATGATGAGGATGAAACAAGGCCATGAGATTAACGGTGAGGGGTTTTTATGAAGTACATGACATCTAATAACGGTTCCAGTCGCACTGTCATGAGAAACAAAGCAATTAGATCTCACCAAGTGCATAATGTGAGAGAGCATTATTCTTGTCATGATTTTTCTCAATTTAATGTTTTAATTTAGTGTGGTTTATTATTTTAAAAATAATGTGCAGGTAAATTAACGAATTGTCATTCTGTATCATGTAATTAATTTAATTTTTATTTATTAAAAGAAAAAGTTTAGCGTATGTGTTTGAAAGAAGATTCTTATATTCATCAATGCTGATTTTTTTATTACTGTAAAAAGTAATATTGCGAAATATTTTTACAATATAAAATACCTGTTTTCTGTTTTATTATATTTTAAAATGCTATTTATTTCTGTGATGCAAAGCTGTATTTTCATCATCCATTACTCCATTCTTCAGTGACACATTCAGAAATCATTCTAATATGCTGATTCATTGCTCAAGAAATGTTTTGGACTTTCTGGTGTATGAATAAAAAAAAAAATTCTGGAATTCTGCACACAAAACTTTTTATTTTCAAATCTGGAAAATCCTTCGTTTTGGGATATAGGATTTTACAGCAAATTCAAACCAGTCAGTCACTAGGCAACTCTGAATCAATCAAAGCTTCCGTACCAGACAGCGAGCTTAAGGGCCAATCGCTTGTTTTTGATGTGGAAACACAGAACGTTTCAAATTGCCATGAATCAGATCATTGCAAGAAACATCTTTTACCACTGCATTTGTGCATTTCCAGGAGAGGGATTAAAGGAAAGTTATTTTTGTCCTAAAGGCTTTAGCAGCCCTCCGAAGAGTAATTCTCTCCGTGACGTGAGCAGACGTTAAGGAATGTTTAGCAAATTCGCATTCTGACAAATTATGTTTAAATCTCAGTGATACTAAATATTTTGTGGCTGACTGTGTGTGTCTTTGGCAAGGTGCTTAAGGCCGGTTTACAATGAGCACGTGTGTTTGTTTATTTCTGGGAACAGGGTCAGAGCGGGCAATCGTGAGGATCTCAAATCTGCAGCATTGTCCTGGCCGACTCTGTCAAGAAACATTATGCTTGGAGCTCGGCCCTGTTCTTAGAGGCAGAGGGAGTAACAAATCCTTCACACGACAAAACTCCCTGAAGGCCTTATGATGAGTCATAAACAATGAGTTTCAGCAAAAAAGCATGCTAGTTATTTAAAGGTGCTCTCAGTCCCAGTTGATTTAGACCTCATACTGACACCTACTGGTGTGGAAGCATGAAGTTGTTTACTAACTTCTGCTGTGACCGTCGTGTGTTTGTGCTCTGCGCTTGACATCCCGACGTTTATACTTGGTTTGTTGCATGTGAGCGGCGTCGCAACTTTTTCCAGCGTTCCAGTGGGAAAACTGTTTGTTTGGACATTTTATTTTTCCACTGGACTGTCTGGTCAGTCACATGCCAATCCATCACTCCAGACTATGCAGTTGACTCAGGCTCTGTTGTTATGTTGTGTCTGTGGTTTGTATATCGTATATGTTGTTATATTGTTTGATTTGCTTGTTCTGTTTAGATGTACTTAGATGTTTATGCTTTCTAAAGCGCCTTGAGCTCTGAAAGCGATATATATAAAGCATGTTGTTGTTACAGCAAGCTGGTCATGTGATCTCAATATGGTGGCAGGCATGAGCCGGAGACCTGTTTTATGGAGAATAAAACAGCTTTTCTAGAAGACTAAAATGACTTGGGTCTTCATCTCATGTGAGTGTGCATCACTTTAAACCTATGTTTCTTTATGTGTAAAACCTTTGCACAAAAATGACTGAGCGCACTTTTTATTCTTTAGTTTAAAAGAATAGTTCACCCAAAAATGTTGTTCCACTCTCATGTTGTTCCAAAACTTAATTTCTTCTGTGAAACATGAAAGAAGATATTTTGAAGAATTGATTTCAATTGCATTTTTTGTCCATGGGAACGAAACCATTTGGTTACCAACATTCTTAGTATTCTTAGTGAGTAAAGGATGACAGGATATTCATTTTTGGGTGGACTATCCCTTTAATAATACTGTCTGTTCTTAGACTCATCTCGTTTACGAGCACAGAAAGAGTGATGTGCATATTTCATCAGAGTTGTACATCTCAAAGCACTTTGCAAGGACATTTAAAGAGCCTAATATAAGATTTGAAAACACTGACTGTTCAGCTTTGGAAGGCAGACTGAAAGTCTCGCAGTGATTAACAGCTGTGTTTAGAAATCAAAGCAAACACTTCACTTCATGTGCCTCATAACTGAAGATGAATTCTCTTCAAAGTATCTACAGCATGGTGATGTTTTGTAATTATTCATGTTTATCCTCGTGCGATATTCAACCATTTGTTTTAATACAGCTGCTTCAAATGCAAACAAGAACATTGATTTAATACGCTAAGCACTAACATATCTTGCACCCAAAGCAAACACACTTCTCTTATTCATTCTATAAAACAACTGGCAATATAACCACCACGCTGGCCTAGAAATGCAGGAATTATAAAGGAAGACTTAAAGGTATAGGTGAGTATTATGTCATTTTTACTACTCTTCTGCTTCTACTCCTTCAATATAATGAATTATATTTAGGACTGAGGCTGTCAAACTCAAAAATGAAGAAAATAAAAATATAAAAATAGTTATTTAAAATCATTTTAGCGCAATTTGATAAATTGTTACTATTCACTAAAATCATGAAAGTTCATTTGAGATGTAGAGATATCTGATTCATGAATGAATCATTCTTTTGAGTGTTCTTAAACAGTTTACTTAAAGGGGTCATATGATGCGATTTCAAGTTTTCCTTTCTCTTTGGAGAGTTACAAGCTGATTGTGCATAGATAAGATCCCTAAAGTTGCAAAGACTAAAGTCTCAAAACCAAAAAGATATTCTTTATCAAAGTTAAGACTCTGCCACGCCCCCCCTAAAATGGCTCGTTCTAACACACCCCCACATATCTACCTCACTATGTGGAAATATTTGCATAATGCTGCCCAAATGTTCACGCAAAGAAAGAAAGCGTGGTTTCAGTAACCGCAGTTAGTGTTGAAGCAGCCGTGTTTCTAGGCAAAGCAAAAGCACTTTAATTGGCCATCTGAAAGTAGATGCATTTAGGAATCTTTCAGATTACTTACAACAGAACAGCAATGCATTTTATGGACGACCGTTTCGTGAACCTAGGAGAGGAGGTATTTCTGACTTTGATGACAATCTGGCGCTTCTGAATCAGCTTCTGTTTTGTTATTA